GAAATTCGAGTTCTAGTGAGTTCGAGAACCGAGGTACCACTGTATAATCCATTTTTGGGATGAAGTAATCTTAAAGATACAGCAACCTCTTTGCATGGGTTAGATATGGAAGATCCTAGCGAATGTGAAAATTTGCGCATAATACTTAGTGACCCCTAACAGTCTGCTAGCCTGAACAATAACAAAAGTGTATTTGTTACAGGGTTGCCAACTCTTACGCTTACGCAAGAAATCTTACAGCAAATCTATATTATTCCATTATAAACCTAAAATTTGCTGCATCAAAAGCGTTGGAATAGTTTGCAGATCCTACAGACTATTTACAAGTTAACCCAATAAACTCTTACATGCATGTAAATGTGTGTAAATGTGTGTGAAGATTTGTCTCAAATTGAAAATCTCACTCCAGCCAGCTGACCAAAATTTGCAACCCTGTCATTACCAATTTGTAAACAAACAGTACTGTACTTTATGCTTTGTATGTCAAATCACTTTGTCATTTCCTATCTGAAGTATGCCCCTGTATGTTCAAAGTTACTACTGTTTGCACTGGGAGCACTATGTTTTGGACCCATTATTAAAATTAACGGCACTGTAAAGTTAAAGTTATTGAACCCATGTGGATTTTTGGGAAGTCTTTTCATTTGTACATATCCTACTGTAAATAAAAACAAATATAGCATTCTTGAGTTGCTCCTTGTTTTGTTGCTATGTTAGTAAAATTCGTCTGTTTATTCAAAGTAGGTCGTGGGGGGAGTAGCCAGCTTCCCCTTTTCGAAAGGCCACCAACCACCACTGACTTACATTAATATTAGGGCTGTCAAAATTAACGGTTAACGCGGATTAATCCATCATCATGATTAATCTGATTAAAATTTTTAACGTAATTAACCCATCTTTAGTGCAGAATGACTCAAAATCCCTGAAATGTCTCTGTCAACCCATTTCGGGCAGTTTTGGTGCGTTCCATTTGCCCTCGGAACTCATATTCCGAGTCAGATTCCGGAGTTTTGAAGCCGGAAGTGACGACATGCACGCTCCCGTTTCTTGGAGATCTGAAATATCTCAGAGCAGCACAGAGGATCTCGAGTTCAGAATCAAAGATGGCTGCGCCCTTTATCAATAGAAGGGAAAGCTGTAGTTTTATACTGTTTAAGTACTACTTCTCATTTGTGGCTCATTAAATCGGTCGCACACACTATACCGTCCAACTTATCTGTGGACGTGTTGCTACGGAGTTTTATACGTAAAGCACCACGCGTAATGTGTTATCAAGTGATATTGCTAACAATGGCAATTAAGCAGGCTAGAATTGGATTTCATGATTAGTCGGATTATTTGTCGGATTTACGGTAGTTTGGGCTAATTGTAAGTGAAAGAAGATAAAGACCATTTAAAATGAGGTACCTTAAATCTGACAAGTTGTCGGGCTAAGCAAAAAATCTTGCTTTTTGATTTGGGTCCATGGTATTGCACTTCTGTGGCAGATGGATTGCATCCAACTCGTGTTCAAGATGTTCAGCAAACATGTTAAGTGCATATATATTCCCTTTTTTCTTGAATCTGTTTGCTCATGCGAAATGAAATGCGATTAATATAGATTAAAAATGAATGACATTTAATCGTGATTAATCGAAATTAATCCACAGCAACCCTGTGATTTTAATCATTTGACAGCACTAATTAATATTATGCATTAGTAATATATATCAGTAATATGATGTTATGTAATCCAAATCATTGCGGTGTTGATTTTGGCTTATGTGTTGTCTGCGATCGTTCAGCAAGCTCCAAAAATTTTCCCCTGTAACTGCTCAGGGTCAGTGCGTGAATAACCAAACCGCAAATGTAAATTTGCAAATGTGAAGGGGTTACTGTACTCCTACTTCCGTGTTGCGCTATTGGGTCTCGAAGGAATTGGGTACTGCAAGAAGACAAGTAAAGTAGTAACACAGGTTCTAAAATTCCATCCTACCCAATGAAATGTCCTACCGTTGGCTACTGTGCATGCATACAATGAAACCAGGCGCCTTTCTTGTGCTTGAAGAACACCCATCGATCTAGCCTACCTTGCGTTGCAGTTACAACTGAGTCTTGTGTACTCCTGTTTGTGAATTTTCAACGTTCTTTTATATTTAATATTTTATTAAATCCATTTCCGTAGGATGTATAATGTATCAGTATTGCTCACATATTTATGACAGCACATCCTTTTAAAGTGTTTTAGCCTATTGAAATTGGCTACCCATGTACAGTCAGGACCATAAATATTTGGACAGAGACAAAGGTTTTAAATTTTTAAGTTCTGTACATTACCACAATAAATTTTATACGAAACAAGTCAGATGCAGTTGAACAAACAAGTCAGGTGCAGTTGAAGTGGAGACCTTCAGCTTTAATTCATTGGGTAGAACAAAAACATTGCATAAAAATGTGGGGAACTAAAGTAATTTTTCTACACAATCCCCTCCTTTCAGGGGCTCATAAGTAATTGGACTAATAAATATAACTGCAAATAAAATGTTCAATTCTAACACTTAGTTGAAAACCCTTTGCATGCAATGACTGCCTGAAGTCTTGAACTCATGGACATGACCAGACGCTGGGTTTCCTCCTTTTTAATGCTCTGCCAGGCCTTTACTGCAGCAGCTTTCAGTTGCTGTTTGAGGGTCTTTCTGTCTGTAGTTTAGTCTTTAGCAAGTGAAATGCATGCTCAATGGTCAGGTGACTGACTTGGCCATTCGAGAATATTCCACTTCTTTGCTTTAATAAAATCCTGGGTTGCTTTTGCTGTGTGTATTGGGTCATTGTCCATCTGTATTATGAAACACTGGCCAATCAATTTGGTTGAATTTGGCTGGATTTCAGCAGACATGACGTCCCTGAACACCTCAGCATTCATTCAGCTGCTTCCATCCTGTGTCACATCGCCACTGGCAGCCATGCACGCCCAAG